TAAAAGAAATAAATAACCTACTCTGTACCTTGAGCAAACATTTTCTTAAGGACTAAAGCCAAGTTTAATAATTCATCTCCCCCAAAACTGTGGCAATACCAACATTTTTTTCATTTTGCTTTATTTGACAAGATGTTTCAGAATTTATACAAAAAATACCCATGTGGAAAATATCTTCATGAATAGAGGATTCAAGCAGAGTAAGAAAGGCTTGTGATTAAAGTATAGAATTGGGATTTGGGAAATCTGGACCCAGTTGCTTATCAGAAAACTGTAAATTTGTGCAGCTCACATTAGCATTTGTTATTTCAAAAACAGGAGCTTAGTAAAGCTTTTGTTCTCTTTGTCTTCCCTCTATCTCACCTATTCAGACTGCAAATTTGAAGGATAGGGACTAAATCGAACTATATGTTTCTACAGCAATACTGTAATCAATTATAAACTTGGCTGCTAAATACTTTTGTTCTGCACAAAAATTAAGACACACTACAAAATTCAGAATGTGTCATTTCTCTTTGTAATAAGCAAAGCACACAGAATTGAAAAAAGCCACTCAACATTTTCTTGGAAAAGAAGACAAAACAGAAACACTTTAAAATGATTAATTATTCATTCAACAAGATTTTTTTAAATTTCTTTACAAGACGAGAATGTTAAAAAGAGGATGAACTGTTTTTCAAGTACTTTCACTTTTTCCAGGTAACATTTTATTTTCCTCTCTATAAAGAAAGGAATCTAGAGCTAGAGAAGTTTGAAAGATTTTTTAAGTTCACTCACTGAAGTAAAAATGGGGAGAATAAAATTGATTTTAAACAAAATGTAGACTTCCTTTAGCAAATTAGAAGTAAAACAATAATTTTGAAAAAAAAATTAACATCCCTGTCAACTCAAAATATTCTCATTTGTATTTTCAGTTTTAATTTTTCTATTTTTAAATAAAACTGAAGTAAAATTCAAATTATACCTCTTTTACAAACACAAATGGCTATGTTTCATTTGTTATAATGTCAAAATAAAATATTTAATAATTTTCAATATTTGGCCTAAAAGCAAGTACCCAAAATCTTTGAATGGGCTCATCTTTACAGACTACCAGAATCCACAGTTTTCATTTAAAAAAACAAACAAACAAAAAAACCCAACATAAAATCCATCAGACATGGAGAGTGAAGAGAGAGGAATTTTTAAAACTCTGAACCAAAAACCTTATTTAAGCACCCTAAAGCACAAAAGAGTTTTCAAAATGTTGGACACAGTGGAACTCTGGAAGGAAAACTAACATCTACCCCAAATGTTCATGGTTTCACAGCTATGGTATTACCTACCATTTCCAAAGGCTTCCCCAAACTTTGTAGTTAAATACAGATTTAAAATATGTAAGTGGCAGTAAGTGCTTTTCAGCACTTTATAACCGCTGCTCCCATACACAAAGCCCTCAGCAACATCAGTTCTGTGCATGCATTTTGTCCTAAACAAAAAGCACTGCTTTTCATGAATATTTATCTTGGAATGATAAGATACACACAAATTATTAAGCATTTGGCCATGGCTTCATGTATAAGTTTTACCTTTCCACATCATCTTTTCTTCATTTATATTTTAAGGATATTGTCAAATGCAAATAAGTCTGCTGAGGGCTACATCCTTTGTGGCTGCTCTTAGATAAATTGTTAAAGGGTTTTTAGTTTGGTTTAGGGGAGATAAGTTTTAATAGTGTTTAATTTCATTTTCATTTTCAACATACCACAGTACTTCCATGAAAATGGAAAACAATAAAAAACAAATTCTTCTGTTTCTGTTCAAATCACATTCCTGGCAAAAAGTCTTTTCAAGCTTCCTGTTTGTTTGCTCTAAGTGGAGGTTTCAACATCTACGTGTGACAGCATACACGCATTATTTACTGTGACTCACATCTAGTCACCATGTCATTCAGAACGCGGTTTTTAGTACTATTTGTTGTTCGCGTGACCAGAACAACAGAGACACCTGGCTTTTAACACCCAACCTTACCACTGGCTGAAAAAACAAAAGAAAAGAACAGTTGACCTGATCCCAAGGAGCTTACAGTCTTAGAATAAACCAGGAGACAAGTGAGATTAGGTAGCTGGCAAAGGGGCTAATGAGAAGGCTTCGATCAGAATTACAGACTTATGATCAAGCTAAGCATAGTCACATTTTATTATCCTAAGGACCAGTGTTAAGCCAAGGAGCAATTCCTTTTCCAGCAAATGACATTCTCTTATCTTGTTAAATGAGACATATTAACACAGCAAAGAGCTCTTTGAGACTAGTTGAGGTATATTTATTCAGAAGAAACAATACTGAATATCTCAGCTCTGATAAACGCTAAAGAAAAGAGGCCCTAATGCCTTGTCCCCCAGGCGCATGGATCCTGCAGCTGGGAGCCAAGTTTCGTCATCATACGTGTGCATTTGGTGCAAGTACATCTCCATGAGTGTCACAGCTGAGAATTAACAACTTAAAGATTGGGAAGTCACTAATTGCATGGCAATAAACTTAGGCTATGAGGGAGTAAATTCAGATATAACACTGATATAAAGGTGATGCTGCTGAAAGGGTTGCTATGATATAACCTTGGTGCCTGGCAAAAAAAGTTTTGTTTTAATAGTTTTCTTCACTTAACTGTTACTCATATCAGAATGTCTCTCTCTAACTGTGTATGCTCTGCTTTGCTGCAGTGCAAAGGAAATTTATTCCTTTGACACAATTATTCTTTTAATGGTTATTCATTTGAGAGAGTTTTGCTGTGTGAATGTACATTTTAGTTTGGTGCAAAAGAAATTCATCGTTTTGACAGTTTTATTCTTTCAACATTTATTCATTTAAATGGGACTTCAGTCTTCAAAGCTCTTAACAAGAAAACTCTAGAAAGAGGACACTGCTGGTGAAATAAGTCCATCATGTTGGCTGTTTCAGAGGAGGACAGCATACTCTCTCATCACTAACATGGCACCTGCATAAAAACTTCATTTATCTTTATAAATTAACCAAAAAAATCTTAGAAAGGCAAGAGAAAAATGGGTGCTAAACAAGGTTTCAATATGCTCCATTAGAGATGACATCATAATTTTTGTGAGTTCATTAACTAGCAGATGATTCCTCATCTGCATCTTTTCACTGTAGAACATTCACTCCAGTGTTACACATTGATTGTTTTTTATTATTGTCTTTTTTTTTTTTAAACTAGAGGGAAATCCCTTACCATTCAGTATTGTGTAATTCTGTTTCTGAAAGGAAAATTGGAGTAACTTTTGCTGTGTAAAGATTAGGCCTTAGTTTAAACTAGTTAATGACTCCAGTCAGTAGAGTCTAGTCAATTCTCCCCATTGTTTAGGCAGTAATCTTTGGATGGGATGAACCACCCCAAAGTGCTGCATTCACTGGAGAAGGAGCCTGGACCCCAAACTCAGCCTGGATACCTGGTTTTCCACAAGCTAAAGTTAAACTGCAAAACAATTTAACCACCTGATTATACAGAAGCTTTCAGCAGGGAGTAGCTATGGAAGATATCATTTAGCATGTGTGTAGGGGGAAGGGAGGAAGGAAGGAAGGGAGGAAGGAAGGAAGGAAGGAACGAACAAACGAACAAACAAACAAACAGAGGGACAGAGGGAAGAAAAAGCTGAAGGTATCCTGTTTGCCAGATGAACCCAGCTTTACTGGAGAGAGGTGTTTCACACATTAGAAATCTCCCCTATCAGTCTGATAAGAACCACATATAAAAGGGCTCTTACCTCATTTCCAACAGCATAAATCAGAAGCAATTAATAAGCTTTGTGGATTTGCATCATTTATGAGAAAAAAAACAGAACTGGGCTTATGTTCCTTAAAGGGGAGTTCGGAGTTCAAAAAGACACCACACAATCGAATTCTGAAATTTTATGTGAACTTCCAGGATCTAGTAAAAACTGCACTTTCACCGAACTTAAGCTGTTAATGATCAACATGGGAAATAGAGAGGACTGTGTACATTTATTTAAATGTATTTTTCTTTGCATAGTTCAAAGACATAGTGCTACTCAATAAATAAGCTAAACAGCATGTAATAAGGCCTGAACAGTTAATGTCTGACAGTACATTTCTACCAATGACCTATGTATTGCTGTAAGGAAGAAAAGAGAAAGTTTCTATCTTAGGACATATTTAATTAAATAAAGAATGAAAGAATTACCTGCTCACAGTAAATAAATTCAAGACACCGGTCATTTTAGGAACTTCATTGGAGGCACTAAGTAAGATAAAAAAATTATACAATACCAGTTAAGATTTCCGAAGCTTTGCAAAATGTGATAACCCAATTCACACTGATAATGATTGTTATAATTTCTTTTAAAGAATTTCATCAACTGCTCATATGTGCTTTTAAAACCATAATGGTGGTCTCAATTTTTAAAGAACTGTGAGTAGTACTGCTTCCAGCATTTTGTAAGAGATGATAAGGGGTGTTTAAGGATGGTTACTTTCTGAAAATTGGCTCCCTGGTAAATCGCACAAGAATAGATTTACAAGAACTAAAACATTCTAAATCACTAATGACTTGGGAAATAGTAGAGACATATTGCTTATGTCCTAAGGTGCCACCTGAAGTCCAAAATATGCCAGGATCCCTGGCATTTGATTTTGAGTTGTCTATTTGAAAAATACAAATGTTAACAAGATAATTCCTGTTTTATCTCTTAGATGATCTGTATATTGAAATTTTGACTAATCTGCAGAAAACATAGTGTTTAAGCAGCTTTTTACTCAAATATTCTTTTTCTTCCCAGCTCATGCTTTGTTTGATTTTACCAGCTTGACTGTGGAATTCTCTGAAATGAAGCTTGAACAAATTTTCTTTACCACAGTGCTATGTTTGTTATTTCTGCTCTGATTTAACACCCTCATGTCTTCTGCAGCAACTTATTACTATGGGGAAAACTTCAATAACTTGGACATTCTGTTTTGTTTTGGTTTTTTTTTTTTCTCCTTTTTGCTCACAGTTCCAAAGACACCTCCAGCTAATGTAAGTGGCAGAAGTGGAAGGCGACATGAATTAGTAATAGCATGGGAGGTAAGGGACTTCTCTGATTAAAGGTTTTGTTTCATGTTTACTTCTTTGAGGGCAAAGAGTACTGTACAGGGGTTTCCTTACAGCAAATCTTGGCAAGATGAACACAAAATACTGTTCTTTAAATGTGTTCTAAAATTTCAAAGTAATGTGCATTTTCATGTGGTGTGATAGAGGGCATTATGGTGAATGTAACTCACCTAACAGCAGTTCCAAAATTGTGCGAATTCATCAGGCTTGTCTTCCTATCTATTGCTTGGGTTGATTTGACTTTTCTGGATATGTAAATGCTACAGCAGCAGATGAATAGCTAAGGGAAGAGAAGGAAAGCCTTGTAACTTTTTTTAATCTTAAGTTAAAAATTAATTATTTTTTAAAGTATTTCATAAAAATGTAAAACTGAAGACCTGAAATAGACCTTTATTTTGTGAAGATATTTGTGATGCAAGGTGCAATACACATGTATGACTGTGCTAGTGGGCAACTGGAGGAGTGGGAGTTGCTTTCTCTGTTAATGATAAATAACACAGTAGAACAGAGACTTTTCTTGAGGAGTTTTCACTACTTCTAGATTCATCATGAAGAGTTTCAGCTTCATAAAATACACATACACACACCCACCTATATATAAAACCAAGAAAAATTCCATCTAATGAAGATATGGGGTTTTAATGAAAAAAGTTTTAGCCTAGCCAACTTGAGGAGAGATTCAGATGGTAAGAAACACACAGAATTCTAACTAACTGCTTAAAATGGCAAATTTTAGGAGAGCTGAAGAGGCTGTCTTCTGTTCGTACATCTGCTTTCTCTGACTCCAGCTACCTGAGACAGTTAAGACAGAACTGATATCGTTTTGCTTTATAGTCTATAACTATAAACAGCAGCATCTCTCCCATTGAGAGAGAATTTGCTGAATCCCAGACAAAAACATCAGGTGGCTAGAACTCTATCTGATGTAAACCAGCCTAATCCCAGTCCCTAATGTGATATATTAGTATGCAGTATTAATATTGTGTTTATAGTGTTCCCCAGGTGACTGGAGTGGGGGACTACTGGAGTGTGTTATATCTCCCTCTCTGTCAAGGCCCGAAATTTTCTTCCAAAAGAAACCGGAGACCCATGGGTGTCCCATCCTGCAGTACAGATGCAACAGGCAGTTAAGAATTAGCAATTGCCATAACATAACTTTCAGTATATGTTGACCTTTTTTCCACAAAAGCCAACTGATGCTTCTCCACTTACAGCAAAGGAGTGCAAACTGCCATTAAGGCAGAAGGTGTCAATCCTTCCCCTTGTTTCTGATTCACTCGTTTCAATCAACACCTGGTGCTGTTCTTCCAGATGCTATTTTCAGCACACTACTGTTTCACATACTTCTTAAACTTCATAAAGTAATTAATCAAATGAAGATTACAAAAAAAACACCCCATGGCATTTCATCTGTGTCAAATAAAAATTGTGAAGTGGGCATATTCACAGTTTTTAATTGTTTGAAAGATTGCTACTATTTCTGCTGAAGAACTAATCCTAGAGTGTTGGATAACACTCCAACAACTCACTACAGACTACTGTGCTGTCTGGTGTAGCCACTACGTTTCCATAACGCACAAGCAAAGCATAAGTTAGCATAGAACCAGCACAGCCAGTCTGTGCTTTGCAGGATCCAAAAAAGTCTTATTGGACTTACACAGGCAATAGAAATTCAACAAAGTACTTTGAAGTCTGAAGAGATACTGAGATGGTATATGAGTCTCTGGGAATTCAGGAAAAGACTAACCTACCTAGGCTCCTGAATTATACTCAGCAGGTTCAAACTAAATTTTATTCACACAACTTTAATTCACAGACTGTGTATTTAGCATTTGCAGTGAAATCCAAGTGTTCTGCTACTTCTCTTATATTTCTGGCCTTTTTTACAACAACTGTCTACTGTCAACTCCATAAGTATTGCAAAGAGATGCAGGGTTCGTCCTTTCCAATTCAAATCACTAGATTACAAAGTCTGTCTTGTTTGCCCCCTTTGCTTTTGGAGTCATGATTATTTTTTTCTTGGATGCACTGTGCACATCTTAAGAAGGATGGATAGAAAATTATGTCTGCAAGTGGGGTGCCTGGTGATGAGACATTCACTTGCAATGTGGAGGGGAGAGGACTTGGTGTCCCCTGTGCCCGTTAGCTGGGGGAACATGCCCCCCACGTGTTCATTACCTGCAGATCTAGGATGGGCATTTCCCATAGGTCTAATATGCTGACAGCTGTTAAAAATAACCTAATTCCTAAATTAGTCCATTGACTTTACAAGAAATTTAGGCAATAAATTAGCATAAAAAATTCCATTCCTTGAGCTGGACATGTAAGATTTAGCTTTTGCAGTGCTCAGCCTCTCAACAGATAAATCCCTTTGCTGACTGCCTGCTTATGGCAGATGTGTCCTAATTTAAGTGGCTAATTTCACAGATCCTCTGAGAAAAGAAAAGCAAATGAGATTTTTTTTTTTCACCAAGACTCAGTTTGAGAGTTAGAACATTATATCCTAAGTCTCAAATTGAACCCTAGACTTAAATCTCTAAGAGTTGACACCCCATTTGGATACAGAAATTAGACAGGCTGGCATCTAAAACCTCAGAGGATCCCACTGTAGTAAGCATCACTCGCATCATATTTTAGGAGCCCTTCACAATATGTTGCTCTGTATTTCTAACAAGGTCACTGGAAGGGGCTATTCCACTAATAGACCACTGATTAAAGCATTAAGCACAAAGTGGGAGGTAGAGAAGAAAAAAATCTTTCTGAGCCCCAGAGCTTATTCAATCTTAGGACAGTGACCTGACTATGGTGATCAGGTGAAGAAACTCTCTTACAGAGTTCCTCTTCCGAAGCAATTGTACCTGTGTGTTCCCAGGCATGATAAGTAAAATCCAGTAATGCCACTGTAAGGGATCACCCTCACACAACCAGCCAGATTATGGTCAGTCACTGACTGGCTGCTTTCTAAATTAGTAAAACTACATCTGATCATTACCTGAATTTTATTTTTCAGCCAGTGTCAGAAGAATTTCAAAATGGAGAAGGATTTGGATATATTGTAGCCTTCAGACCCAATGGAACACGTGGCTGGAAGGAAAAAATGGTGACATCTTCAGATGCCTCAAAGTTCATCTACAGAGATGAAAGTGTGCCACCTCTGACTCCTTTTGAGGTGAAAGTTGGTGTTTACAACAACAAAGGAGATGGTCCTTTCAGCCCTATTGTGGTCATCTGCTCAGCTGAAGGAGGTCAGTTCAACGTGAAGTTAACTTGTATATTATGAACTACATTAAGCTATTTTTATGTAATGTGTCTTATTATACCATGCTTTTTCAATCTGAAATTTCAAAATTATTTGCAGAAGTGCTGAGTAACATTAAACATGTTTTGCAGAGAAGAAGGTGAACCTCTTGCTGAGGTTGCCCAGAAAGCAAGTAACAAAGTTTAGGAATAAACTTCAAGCCACATCAGTCCTAGCCAAAAAAAAATATGTCTTTTAATGAAGGTTCATGCCTAATATGAAAACTGTAGTCTTTACTTTAGGCTGGGCTGCTCTAACAGTGAGCAAACAAAGGCTGATATTTTCTAATGTTTCTGAGGTTCGTGATACTCTTTTTGATGGGTTAATCAGACAACAGCTCAAAGACTAAATAAATTCACTTATGAATGTTCATTTCCTGGTTATTGGATAGTAAAAGTGCACAGTATTCAATCTTGTTCTTATTTTTATTATATTTTTCTATTATTTTATCTATCTATAGTTCATGAATATAAAAGTTCTGAATGTATGTTAATTTCCAAATATTCAATGTGAATTACAGGAATAGTTCAGAAGAACAAATTAAAACTATTTCTTGAAAATTTCTATATCAAGTTGATATAACTCACAACAGTATTTTGTGAAAAAGAGACTAATTTTTACTAGTAAAAGAAGTTGTTCTTTACTGACAGGAGCCAGTGTATGGAAATTTCCATACACACAAAAGGTAAATAAATGTTTCTCACAGGAATATTTTGAGCAGCTCCATTACTGGAAGTCATATACTTCAGTTCTTCTTTACTATACTATCTTTGAGTTATCCCACTGTCTCCTGTTAAGAGAATAAAATAAGTACAGTCCTTGTACAGATGGGAGGATTTCATACTATCTCTACAAAAATGTAGTGTGAAGTTAATGGTATTTCATTTAAATGTTATTCCATATTAGCCCGAAATAAACGTGTAATTTTGGAGCCATGATCTAGCAGACACTATCTACTACTATTCTTTCACAGTAATAATAGAAGTTGGAAATGCAGGTTTTGCTAAAAGCAGTTCCAGTAATTTGTTTGTGTTCCACTGTTCGGATCAGCATTACCAAATATTTATATTATTATAAAAACAATTGCATTTTAAAATGTAAAAATTGTTCAGTACAACTTGGACATTTTTACAGTTGAATTCCCTGTTTCGCAATGGAAAACAATACTGTAAGGTGATGGTTTTATTATTTAACAATTTCATACTCTAATCAGAAAGTTCAATAAAAATAGAGTTTTACAAGGGAAGGGAGGCAAAACCTTAATGGATTTTTTTTTTTTTAGAATAGCAGAAGCCATTTTAACAAAAGCTGAATGTTGAATTGTAATATGTAGTCCTTTGCTTGTTATTTGGAGAAGACTGGAAATGGAATAATCAGTAATATATAAATCAATTTTCCTAACATTTCTTTTAAAAAATGAACTTTAGAAATTATTTAATATAATTATTAAAATTAACTTTCTTTCTATGCTCCCAGAGACTATCTGGAGAAACCAATTTTTATGATTATAATTCAGTTACTTGAAAATACCTACCCATCATAGCTTTGCTAGTTCAGCCTCTGTATGTGTCTGCACATTAGACTTCCCTTTGGTAAGAGGAATTCTATGGGGCTAAAGACTTTTTAATGTTTATGTTTGAGGAAAAAATATGGGATGCTGTGACAATACAGTGCAAAACTAATTTATATAAAGCTTTTCTCCAGAATAATCCTAGGCAATCTACTGAAATTTTTAAGAAATAACGAAACAGTTTATTACAGCTAAGTTCTGGGCAAGATGGAGGCTGAGGACAATAGACATTTCAGCTTGCTATGAAAAGAGGGGGGACTGGTTTTGAAAGAGGCATGGACTTTCACATTTAAGGAGCTAAACAACTGAAGGTACAATTTCTAAAGGATTTCTGTTGAAGAGGAGATATTAAATAAAGATTGACAGTACAATATATTATGGTCCTAGGGCTGATCCAGCAAACCCTTAGCTTACTTGCTTTTCATCACACATTCAATTCACTGCTCTGCAAACGTTTAGATTAAAGGCTTAGGATAAAATTATTAAAAGCTAAGGAAACGATGTCACATATTAAAAGGTTCCCCACATCTGTAGAGGTGTGGAATTCTACAATTATTTACTGGCATAACAAATTTTTCTAAGGAAGCCTAAAACCTGTTGCTACAGGGGAAAAAAAAAAAAAAAGATTTTGCATAGGACAAGTTCTGGACAAGGAAGACATTTCTTGTTTTTTAAGAATGAATGCATCCTCTTTTCTGTACGGCTGTGCTCTGTATTGTGTGCTCTGATCTACACTCAGAGCCCATTTGTGCATTGCAATGTACAGGTCTGAGGCTGAGAAGGAGGATGAACAGAGCAAGGAGAAATCTTCTGACTGTGCTTTCTGCCAGGAAAATAATGGTGTCAGATTCGTGCTAGAACATAGTGAAACAAAGCACTGAACTTCAGTGCAGGCACAGATAGTTTTGATCCATAGAGAATAAAAATTGTAAAGGCACAAGATATTGAAAACAAATAATGAACAAAAGCAGCGTTAAGCACTGTTTGTTTTAACCATCATATACAAGCTCTATGTGTGGTTTTAATTCACTGGAAGAGGAAAACTGGGAAAATCAGGAATATAGAAATGGAGATGGAAATATGAGAGTGTAAAGATATGATTACAAGAAGATGGAAAAAGGCTTTGCTGATAAGAGTGATGGCCAGGTAGGCTTGCTTTAGCAAGCATGACTAGACAAAGTATGAACTACACAGGAAAGACAAAATAAAAGTAAAAATGTTTGGATGTCATAACATGCTGATGATGTGATAACATATCAGGAAATACAAAACCAGTGTTTGGATAAAACAGAATATCCTTGGGCTCCATATCATTTCAGAAAAAGGCAATTAAAGAAACTGGGAGTCGAACTAAAGGTCAGTTGCTGATGTCCCTGATAAATTTGGAAGCTGAGAAAGACCTTTCTAATTTTAGATAAATATTACAGGACACTGTTATTTATGAGAGCATTTAGCTGCTCAGAGTAGTTTGGATAGTAAATACAACTAATGACCTTGTGTTCTGGCTGTGATAATTAGCAGATTTTTTATCTAGTACTGACTAACAGAGAAGAAATAACGGTACTATAGTCTTGTTTTGATGAATAATTAAGACACTATAGAAAAGCTGATCATAACAATAACAGTGGAACAAGTCACCATTAAATAGCAGGAAATTATTTAATAAGCTGGAATTAACAATTGAAATGAAAGTCTTTTGCAATGCCTCTGACCCAAAAGTGTAAAATCTACCTGAAGTTTATACTGCAAGAAATAGTACATTTTTAAGGCAGTACATTACATCTGAGGATCTAGAGGTGTAGCCACTAAAAGTTATTTAGAATAAATAAAAAGCATATATAGTATTGATGCTTAAGATAATCAAAGAATGGACCAACAACAGTGAAATACTTTATCATTTCTTTGAAATAAATAAAGTGATATAGACAGGATAGCTAATAAGAATGTGAAAGTCTGCAAATTTTTACATCTGTAGTGAAAACTTCTGGTATTGTGAAGTGCTCAGAAACTGAACCCTTGCTAATTTAAGCAATGCAGAATTTGCTGTTTAAATGTACCATAAAGGAAATTTAATGTGTTTTTCTATTCATGAGTGCCATAGATCTTGAGAGCTAGTCCCCTTTATATGCTCAAGGACCTGTGGCAAGATCTTTTCCATCCCAAAATAATCAAAACAAGTAACAGTTGGCAAAAATAAATTTTAATTAATATATCAAGAAAAAATAAAAATATTTCTCTATAAGTCCAGGAAAAAAAAATATCTTTACCACCAGACTTGCAAAAGGCTTGGAAGACTACTGGCAGAATTTGTTAAGGGTCAGTCTTAGATCACACAAGTTTAATATTGATAATGCTAATAGAAGAGCTGGTTATGCTATTGCTGTTATTACGACTTCAGGGTGCACTGTCAATATAGGGAAAGAATTGAACAATACATAAGAAAAATGTGAATTAGAGGACTAGAGGAAAAGGAACATGAATGACATACAAGTGCTAGGTCAAGTACATAAGGAGTAGTAACAAGCCAGTCCATTACAAAATGGGAACCTAACAGCTAGAACCTACACACAAGAAAGACACGATTGTTTTAATTTGTATCGGGGCATCATTCTGATAAAACTGTAACAAAGCTGCACTAAAATCTTGTCTACAGTTCTGGTTGCTCATGCTCAACAAAGAATTCAAGATGATACAGGTTCAAAAGACTAACAGGATCATCAGGAAATTAGTAGAAACCAGAAGAGCTTGTTTCTTTTGTCCTAGTAAAAAATACTGAGTTTAGATAAGATGCTGTCTGCAAATGAGGGAAATTATTAGGGATGGTGAAGAGCTTTTAAAGGTAAAGGATAATGATGCTACATCTTTTTTTTGGTAGCAAATAAAACAAGCCAGACATTCTTTATCCTTGAAGCCAATTGGCCAAAAGGGGTTCACATCTGTACACTTGAACACTGTCACTCTCTAGACAGTGACTGCATCCATACACCTCCTGGGAACCATCCCTGGCCAGGCACCAGCATATTCCTGGGCATATTTTGGGGAAGTATTAATTGGCCAGAGTCAATACTTCACCAATGATCATGCTAACTCTGACATGCCATGGACAGCTGTATTCCATGCTCAGGCTGGTGCCTTGTCCCCCTGTCTCTGTTTAGTTTACACGTACAGACGCAGCCTATCAGCACAAGAATAAATGTGAATTAGAATACATGTAGTACAGAAATAGGTGAGAATACAAAAGGAAATAGAAATAAGCTTCTGGGAGAAAGAGGGGACCTAGCTGGTTTCAAGATGAGTTAGGTCTTTCATAAAGGTTTTTTTTTTTTAATGATTGCCTCAATGGGAGATGCAGAATCAGTTCTGTTAGTTCCAGTATC